CCACCAACCCCGGGCAGACAGCTGGGTCTCTAGGGCGGCCCTGCCCCTGGCCCTGCCCCCGGCGCTGCCCCCAGCCCTGCCCCTGGCCCTGCAGTCCCCTCCAAACCCCAGGAACCTGCCGTGAAGGGAGGGGACCCTTGGAGATCCACGGCCACACCCACTTTACAGATGGGGAATCCAGGGCACCGGGAGGAGGACCTGGGCAAGGAGCGGGCAGCCCTGGCGACGGCCACTCCTCTTCGGGCCTGGGCACCCCGGCCCGCTCCCTGCACTTGGCCTCAGTTCCATTTGCCCAGCCTCCCTCCCTCCCTCCCTGTAGGACAAGGAGCCCCGCGGGATCATCCCCCTGGAGAACCTCTCGGTGGAGAAGGTGGAGGACCCCAAGAAGCCGGTGAGTGGCCGGCGGGCAGGGCCAGCTGCTGGGGAGGGCAGGGCGGGAGGCAAGGCTCTCAGGAGGCCAGGCTCTCCCTCCCTCTCCCTCCCAGGCCAGGGACCAGGGCACAGGCCAGTGGCTGGGTGACTGGAGCTCGGCTCTTCCCTGAGCCCCGTCCCCCGTCACGTGGGGACTTCAGGGAGGCAGTGACTTGGGTTGGCCTGGGGCATCACTGTGGGTAGGGACAGCCCCCGTTCCTCCGCCGGACGCAGGAAGCTGCCCGTGGGGTGGCAGGGGTCCTGTGGGGATCACGGGCTGCTTGTTGGAGCCCGGCCTCGCCTGGGGGTCTCGGCCTCGCCTGGGGGTCTCCACCTCCCTGGGCCTTCTGGAGGCCCGACCGGGGTCCCCCCCTGACCTTCCCCGGCCCCCCCAGTTCTGCCTGGAGCTGTACAACCCCAGCTGCCGCGGCCAGAAGATCAAGGCCTGCAAGACGGACGGCGAGGGCAAGGTGGTGGAGGGCCGGCACGGCTCCTACCGCATCTCGGCCTCCAGCGCCGAGGAGCGGGACCAGTGGATCGAGGCCATCCGGTGAGGCCCCCGTGGCAGGCCCCGGTTCTCTGGGCCTTCCGGCCCTGTGTGCAAAGGGACCGGCTCCGAGGTCCCCTCCACCCATGTCCCAGGGCATTTCCCTGGCACCATGCCAGGCCCTGGGACACGGGAGGGCGTCCAGGGCTGTGAGAGCACGGGGAGTTGCGTGGAGAGCCCTGGCCAGCTCCTGGCCTGAAGGGTGACCCGCCAGCATCACCAGCTCTGGGAGGGGCTTTCCAGGCAGGACCAAGGTGGACAAAGCACGAGGGCTGGTCAGTGGGTGGCCTCCGGGGACAGCACCCCAGAGTCCAGGTGAGGCTGAGCCGCGTGGGGGCTGAGCAGTGGGCAGGCTGCGTCAGACGGCAAAGGCACTGTGGCCACGGCGACAAGCCTTGGTTTCTTCTAGGGGCACTAGGGAGCCACGGACTAGTAGGTAGGAGGGGTGTGCCAGGTGAGGACACCCACCTTGTGTGGCCGGTTCTGAAGTGCCAAGGTAGGATGCTGTCATCTCAGACCAGGGGACAGAAGCCCCGGCAGCCACTGACGGAGGAGAAGGTGGGGAAGGGACGCCTGGAAGGTACCAGGTGACAAGCCGCTGGGGGCCTGACATGAGCAAGGGCAGGAGCATCCGCCAGAGAGCAGGCGTGGCCGGCCGTGTCCCGGGACTCAGGCCTTGGAGCAGCCCGTGAGGCTGCCCGCAGACCCCGCCCGTCTCCACCTCACTGATGGGGAAAGCGAGGCCCAGAGAGGACAGACCTCGTCCAGGGCAGCGAGCCGGTGAGGTCTGCTGGCCCACAGCCAGGCTGCCCTCAGGCCCAGGGACACTGTGGGACAAGTTCCCAAGACGCTGCCCCCGGCTCTCTGGCCGGCCCGTGGGATGCTGGGCAAGGCCAGTGAGGCCGGCCCCTCCCGCTTTGTCCTTCGGGGGCCACCCCGGCCTTCCTGCAGCTCCCTGAGGCCGCGCCCCTGACCCCAGCTCTGGAACCTTCTCCTCTCCCTGCAGGGCCAGCATCACCCGAGTGCCCTTCTATGACCTGGTCTCCGCTCGGAAGAAGAAGATCGCCAGCAGGAAGTGAGGCTCCCGGGAGGTGGCACGGGCCAGCATCCTGGTCCCCTGGACCCCTGGACCCTCCCCCAGGGCGCCCTCTCCAGGCCACAGACACCGCCGCCCACCAGGGGGGCAGGACGGAGGGCACAGAGCCTGGCTGTGAGACCCACCGCAGCTCTGGGGCGGGCACACAGGGAGGGCCAGGAGAAGGCGGAGAGAAGCCAGCTGGACCCGGACACCGAGCCTCCCTGGGCAGCCTGTCCGCGGCCCTTGGCTCTCAGAAGTCCCGCCGCCCTCCAAGCCCTCGCCAGCCTCCTCCTGCTCAGGCCTGCAGGTCGGGCCCCGCTCTCGCTCCTGAGACCCACCAACAGGACCCCAGGAGAGGTGCCCGGAGCGCTGGACCCGGAGCCCAGACCCACGGTCCAGACCTACCTCCGGCCCTCCCCGCGCCCTCGGCCACGCCGGGCCCCTCCCTGGCTCCTGCAGAACCACAGTCTGGACTGGAAACGTCTGGGCCTGCGGGCTGCGTGCCCACGAGCAGCTAGGGCCGGTGGCACTGGTCCACTGAGCTGGGTGACAGTCCTGGCTGCTGGGGGAGCAGGGCGGGCTCCACCCCAGGATGTCCACCTGGGAGGCAGGACAGGCAGGACTCCAGCAGGACGGTGCTGCCATCAGGGTGGAGCTTCGCAGGCCTGGTCCCCAGGAGGACTTCCTGGAGGCAGCGGCCAAACCCAGGAGCGGCACACGGGGTCCACGCATGGAGAGGCAGCGTCTCCCTGGGTTTCCCCGCTGGACCCTGGCTAGCGCCGCCACGGTCATGAAGGGTGGCACCGTGGGTCCCAGCGCCCCAGGCCCTGCCCAGTGCAGCACATGGCAGAGCAGGGCCACCAACCCCGGGCAGACAGCTGGGTCTCTAGGGAGGCTCCGCCTGCAGGAGGATCCGGGGACAGTCTTCCCAGGAGCTCTGCTTGCCCCCGGGGCAGGGGAGCCTGCAGGGAGCCTCCCTGACAGGCAGCAGGACGCGGGCAGCAGGGGCGGGCAGAGCAGCGGGTTCCCCAGGAGGAGCAGCAGTGGCCACGTGGCCCTCCCACCCCGCCCTGGTGCACGCTGTCCAGGGGTCAGGTGGAGAGGCCACAGGAGGTGGTGGGAGCTCTGTCTGAAGGTGGCAGGTACCTGGCAGCCGTGTTGCACCCCTGCGGGCATCGGCAGGACATGTGGGGACTTCTTCAGATCGCAGCCTGTGGGCTGAGCCCGCCTTGGCCACCCCGTGAGGCCAGTGAAAGGGCCTCAGGGTCCGTGGAAGGAAGACTGGCCGGGGGCCGGGTCAAGGTCCTCTCCTGCCTCTGGCTCACGTGGACTCTGTGACCCTCGCTGGTTCCCAGCTCCCCCGTCAGTAAAGGACAGGCACGAGTGGGGGACAGAATGAAGTCCCCATCCAACGTGCAGTGGGCTCTGTCCTTCCACGACCACCTCTGCCATCCCTGACCTCACCTTGGCCTCTGTCCCTTTCCCAAACAGGGGGGAGTGGGCCCTCAGATATGCTGGAACCGCATCCTCGGGACACCAGGGCTGCCGGGCTGGGCAGAGGTCCCCAGGGACTGGACTTCTGCCAGGCTGGGCTGAGCTGGGTCTGCCGTCCAGGCAGCACCAACCACAGACAGAGACAGCCTCCGCCTTGAGAGGCACCGAGGTCTCCCGGGTCCAGGGTGTGGGCACAGGCTGGCCACAGGGGTCACTCGAGGGGCCACGGGGAGGCTGGTGTGTGACCTTCGTCCACCTGGACTCTCAGAGGTGTCTGTGGCACATCTACAGTGTGTCCGACCAAAGCCCTGCCCACTGGGTCCTGAGCCCTAGGGCTCTGGGCAGACCCCAGAGGACATTTAGGACGCGGAGGTCACCCCACACCTTATCCTGGCTCCCACCCTGAACCCCACCCCTGGGGCCCCTCCTCAGAGGGAGCTGAGCTGCTGCCCTACCGGCACATGCCTTCCTTCAGACTGTGCTTATTGAGCACCTACTGTGTGCCGGGATCCTTGCACAGAGCCAGGGATCCAAATGACCCAGACGAAGCCCTTGCCCTCAAATCAGCTCAGGCTTACAGAAGCCATGGGGTGGACAAAGTCCGAGCCCAGGCCGACCTGCGCCGTGGCAGAGGGGAGCACCGGGCACGGCTGGGCAGAGGGGCCACCGGGAGAGGGGTCTCCAAGGAGCAGCCAGCTTGTGGTCGCCAGGCCTGGGAATGCAGTGAGGTCATGTCTGCCTCTGGGTGGCCTGTGAGCTCCCAGGGGTTCGACTGCACTCACGCTGGTGCGGAGTACACTGTAGGTGCCTCATAACTGCTGGGTTGGCTGCGGTTAGCAGACAAAGGCCCTGGTGGCCTCAGCCTCAGCAGGCCCTGGTGGCCTCAGCCTCAGCAGGCTCAGGTGTCTGGAGGCACAGGGAACGGTGAGGGCGCTGCCAGGGAAGGGCAGTGGGAGATGTTAGTAGGGCCACAGCACCCTCCCTGGCCGGTCCCCAGGTCCCCTCAGCTCTGCCCGCTTGGCTGACACCCTGCCACTTCTCGCTCTGGGCAGCAGGGGGCGCCCACCACACGTGGATGAGCGCAGCCAGCCCCGTCCAGCCTGGAGCCCAGCGCCCGGCAGGGAGGGCACAGAGCCAGGGCCCGGGCCCCTGGTCTCCCAGGGTTTTCTGGCTCAAGCAGCCCATGAGCCCCTGGGCACTGGCTAGCGTGAGCCCCTTCTCCCAGTGGGCAGCCCCCGCCTGGCCTGGACCCGGGGAGCCTCTGTCTGGGGTCCCCCGAGACGGCTCCTGCCCTCTCTGGAGTGGTTCCTCCCTGAGGGGTGGTCCTGAGGACTTGGTCCTGGAGACCTCTGGGTCAGGGTCTCAGGCACGGGAACAGCACACTCCTGCCCTGGACGGCTGGGACAGGTGAGAGCAGACGGGCAGGTGTCCCGATAGCTGCTCCCACGAAGGCCACTGGGCGGCGGTGAGCGCCCGGGTCTGGTTCAAGGCCCAGCTCTGCCCTGTGCCCGACGCAGGCTTCCCAAGGTCCGCGGCATCCGGGGGCTGTCTCTAACGGTGTCCCACACGCAGGTGGCCAGGTGCTTCTGAGGAGTGGGGTGGCCCCTCTGCCATCTGTCACGTGCTTCTGTCACATCGCCCCAAGGCAGACTGGGTGCTGGCTGCCACGCAGAGCCAAAGCAGCCCAGGACGCCGGAGGACGGGTGGTTCCTGGGGCTGCGAGGGAGGGGACCCAGGAGGGCCTGGGAAGAGGCTCCAGGGGGGCACACGGGGGGGCCTCAGCCCTCCAGCCTGCGAGGCCGGGAGGACGCGGGACAGCCAGGTGCTTCCTGGACCCCCTTGGGCCCAAACACCAGCCGGTGGGCCCCGAGGGCGCAGGGTTGAGGGAGGCCAGGTCCAGGAGGGGCTGAGTGGCCTGGGCAGCGCTGGGACCCCCGCCCACCAGCTCTGCCTGCAGGGAGCCGGGCAGGGGCTGCGGCCATGCCACGGCGGAATGGAGGCTGTGTCGGCACGGTGGGGCCACGTGGCTCCTCCTGGGGCGCAGGAGGACGGAGTAAGGGGCTCTGTGAAGCCAGGGGCCACCGCCAGGCGCCTGTGGGGGAGCCTGTCCACATGGAGGCCCGGCTTCCGGAGCTGGCAGCTGGCCCTGCATCCGGCTGTCAGGGGACAGGCAGCCCAGCGCCGGCAGCAGGTGTGAGAGACCTGGAGAAATTGATTTATTAGGGACGATGAAAGGAGCTAAATATGTTTGCCGGCTCAGCGATGACTCAGGCGTCCCCCAGGGGTTCGCGAGTGTGAGCATCAAAGAAGCTAAGACAGGCCTCCCGCCACCGGGCACCGCCGCCTGAGTCCCCTCTTCCCATAATGGGAGCAGCGGCCACCTGGCCTGCAGGACGGAAGAACACGGCCTGGGGTGAGGCACGTCCAGGTCCAACCCCTGGACTTACCCCAGATTGCTGTGCCATCTTGACAAGTAACTGACCCTCTCTGGACCCGCGTTTACCAGCAGGATCCATCCCCGGCTGGCCAAGCCCCTCAGCTCCCTCTGGTCCGGAGTGACCTCACGGGGGAACGCGCTCTGCTGGCCCCAGGCTCCAGACCCTGTGCTGGGCATCAGGAGGGACGGGATGCATCCCGCGCAGGCCAGAGACGCCCAGAGGAGGGCCAGGCCCCACCCTAGGGGCAGGAGGGGACGGGGACAGACGGGACCTGAGGGGCTGCTCTGGGGTGCCTGGGGAGAGTGGGCTGGAGGTGGCCGGCCCTGGACGGCAAGTCAGACTGGGAGCAGGCGCGGGGTCCCCCTGGCCCTGCGAGTCCTGCCTCCCTGCTTCACCCGAGCCAAGTCCCCTCCTCACGATCCCCGAGCCGTCTGGACGGAGTGGGGGGCCGCGAGGGCGCCAAGCAGGAGGCTCTGGGGGTGCTCCTCCAGGCCACTCCCGGGGACAGACCAGGGAGCCCAGGGGGGAGGACACGGGGCTGCAGGGGCGAGTGAGGGACAGGTGGTGGCCAGAGAGGGGCAGCCTGGGTTTCAGGAGGGCGGAGGACAGCAGCTCGAGGGCCCCAGTCTCCCTGGCATCCCGCAGAGGGCAGGCGTGGGGGAGCGGGCAGGTGACCCCGGGTCCGCGAGGCCCCTGGACTCCCAGGCAGAGACCACCGGCTTCAAGTTAAGTAAGGGTGGGGGCTCAGGGCCAGCCTCCCCCCGGGGACCCCCGTCTTTCTCCCCTTCCCTCCCCGCCCTTCCCTCCTCCTGCTCGCCGGCCCTGCTTGGTCATCTGTCCCGGCTCCAGGACACACAGGCAAGCCCCTGGGCAGGGGTCAGCCTGCAGGCCTGGGTTTGAATCCTGCACCCGCTGTGTGGCTCAGGGCAGGTGCACTACAGTCTCTGGACCTCGGTTCCCCGACTCAAGGACCTAGGTGGCAGCTCCAGCCACCAGGGCTCTTCAGGGGCTGTCCTGGTCCCTGACAGCTCAGGCTGGGTGGCGGGAGGACTGCCCTGGGCTCAGAGGGCAGGGGAGTCCGGCCCCTCCCAAGCCAGAGGTTTCCCTGTCTCCAGGGCAGGGCAGGGCTGCGGGGCGTGGGCAGTGGACACGTGTGGCCTGCGAGGTCTCCTTTCTTCCTGGGTTAATGCTCTTTGTTTTGGTCCCAGGGACTGAGCCCAGGGACGTCTGACCACTGAGCCCCGCCCCAGCCCTTGGGTCTGTGGATTTACTCTTATTTAGAGACAGAGTCTCACTGAGTTGCTTAGGGCCTCGTGCTGAGGCTGGCCTTGAGCTTGTGACCGTCCTGGGCCACTACAGGCGTGTGCCACCACGCCCCGCTCTCTCTGTGCATTGGAGCTGACCCATGTTCCCGAGCACCCGTGCCCACCGCACCCCACCCTCGTCCACGGGCCTCGGCCACCGTGTCCTGCAGTCCCCAGAGCAGGCTCCACGGTCACCAGACCCAGGCGGAGGGAGGCGCCGGGAGCCCGCCCTCTAACGTGGGCCCCTCGAGGGTGTCCCAGAGACTGGCCACGTCCACAAGAGCCCAGCAGGAGGCGGGACACCCCGCGGGGCACTGTGGACGGGACCGAGGCTGCTTCGTCCTGGGAGCGAAGGGCAGCTGCTCACGCTGAACAACCTGGGCTCAGGCCCCGCCCCGATTCCAACAGACCCCCCTCCTCTGTGAGCCCCGTCCTGCCCCAAGGCATGGCGTGGACTCAGAGTGTCCTTGGCAGGCCTGGTCGGCTCACGCCTCAGCAGACACCAGCTGGACAACAGGCTCTTGACGCGGGGAGGTGGGCTCCAGGCTTCTCGCCCCTTTCTCCAGGAGCTGCCAAAGGCCTCTTCCTACAGGAAGCCCTCCCTGACCACCCAGCCACCAGGGCTCCTTTAAGACTGAGATTCCTGAAGAGCAGCCGTGCCCACCCCTGCACCTGGCCTCCTCCAAAGGACACTCGGCACCTGCTTCTGTCCCAATCCTAAGTGATCCCCGTTTGGCCTTGGAGCCCCCGCTTCAAGGTCTAGGTCTACTGCAGGCTGCACGGTCTCCTCCTCCTCCTCCTCCTCCTCCCTCTGCCTCCCCAGGGGACGTCCAGCCCCAGCTAAGTCCAGCCCCAGCTTTAGCAGCACCCACCCCCCAGGAGGAGCCTGAGGCTCCCAGGTGTTAGGGACACGTCCTAGGTGACCAACACGCAGGCTCCATGCAGAAGACTGCCCACAGAGGAGGGCACGGAGGAGGGCACGGAGGCGCAGAGTCGGGGACTTGCCCAGAGTCACAGGCCACAGTGGCATCTGACCCCAGAGGCACCCAGCAACCCACAGAGATTCCAGCGGAGCCGAGGTCAGCTCCGGCCTTTCCAGGCCCTGGCCTCGGGCTGGAGTCCTCTCTCTCCCTCCCCAGCGGGTTTCTGTTGAGCAGTAAGAGCCCTGAGCCGGCCGCCTTGGCCGGGTCCCATGAAAACCAGCAGGACGCGGTCATTGCCGAAAACCGGCCAAGGCGGAGAGGAGGAAGGGGGTAAGGACCCTTCGGCCTGGGGAGCAGCCCGTTCAGAAGACTTCCAGCATGTCTGCACGTGCTCTGAGTGCCATCTCGGCAGTGACACTAGAAATACGGTTCTGTGACCCATGTCTGCCTTCATACCAGGGGACCACCGTGTCTCCCTGGGGGCCAGTCAGGGCAGGTTAGGGAACGCTACATTAACAAGTAGCCCCCAATCCTGAGGCTTGCGTCCACCAGGGGTTGTGTCTTGTGTGCCCAGCGTGGGTCTCTGCTTAACACTGTGACTCAGGGACCCAGGTGGCAGAGCTGCCATCCTGACATGGGCTGGCAGGAGCTCTGTCTGGATATGACAGTCACTTCCACTCACCTTTCATGGATCAAACGTGTCACAAGGTCACCTAACTTCAAGGGAAGAGGAAGTACCATGCTGCACTGTACTGGGTTCCACCTGCCCAGCAAGAAGAGAGAAGAGGATACTTAACATGCAGTACCATCCCCATCACACCTGGGCTGACTCCCCACCAGCTCAGGACCGAGGTTCCTGGAATCAGGACTTCTAGTACTAACACGGGGAAAGTCCTGGGTCAGCCAGACGCTGTCACTTTCATTGCATCCTGTGATACAGTCTTCACAAACTCACTTTTCAAAACTACACAGCATCCATGTTATTGGTGAGTCGGAGTTCTTCTCTCCAATCCCCCATTGCTGGACACTTAGATTGCTCCCAGTTTTACCTGGCCATAAATCCACGGTCTGAAATGTCTCTGAATGCAACCTTGTCCACTGGCTTCTCAGAGATGCTGTTTTCCAGCTCAGAATCCCCGATGCCCATGTGTAACACAACACAGCAGGCCCCGCGCAGCTCACCCAGCGCATAAGCCACGCCCACTTTCCACGCGCCCAGCTGGAGCCCAGAGCAAGGGTCCTCAGCGCAGCCTCAGAAGCACCGAGAACTGCTTCAGAGATGGCTGGCACCTGCTTGCGGAGTCTGGGGCTGGGCAGGCCAGGAGAGGGCCTCACCAGGTACATTTCTAGCAGGGTCCCCTACCCGATGGACACTGTGAGCCTGGACCACACTCTGAAAGTTACATGGAACCTTCCGGTCACCTGGCAGGTGACTGCGGGGCGAGCCGGCTGCCGAGCTCAGGCACATCTGCCGGGCATGTGACGAACTAGGCTAAAGACAGTGACTATTATTCAACAGAGGATTCAATAACTTCATGTTTTAAAATATTTGTTCATTTGAATGGAATTGCGTTTATTAAAATTCCTGCTCCTTCCAGAGCTGAGTGGGAATGAACTGCCTCCTGGCTGCCCGCGCGCTCGGCTTTCCCTGTGAATCACCGGCTCCTGCCCTCGGTGGTGCTCACCCGGGACTCCTGGGTCTTCCTGCCGCCATCAGAGCGCAAACCCGGCCTCCCGCGGGCGCTGGCTGCGTGGGCTGGGGCCGTGGCCTCTGCAGGGCCAACTGACTTTCCAATCCTGGGGTCCTCCCACGTTTAAACCTGGGCGACGGCCCTTCTCCTGAAGGTGACCCCCTGCAGGGTCAAGTTGCCCATCACCAGCTGGGGACCAGGATGGTCACAGGCACAGGAACGGGCCACCAGCCGCAGACAGGTCCGGCTCAGTCTCGCCTCGCTGGACAGCGAGGCCCAGGTCAGAGGGAGGACTCAGGAGTGGGGCTAGGTGTCACGCAGGCTCTGTTCCCGGGCGGTGGCCGGCACCCCACAGCCATGGCCTGTACTGGGACGGAAACATGCAGCACACTCGGGCCCCAAGTCCCCAGGGGTCCGCGGAAATGCGCCCCGGGGCTTCAGGCTCAGAGGGAAACCGGGCTCTCCAGCTGCCGCTCAGCACACGGCCCTGCAGGGGGCAGTGCCAGGGCCAGAAGAGGCCAGCTGGCCCCTGACTCCCCTGGACTCCCCCTGGGCAGGGCCCCTCCTGCTGTTCCGGCTGCCTCCTGCCCTGCTGGGGCCTCATCTCCATGACAGTCAGCCACCAGGAAGCCCCCTCTGCTGGCCCTGCCACCCCAGGAGGCCTGGCTCTTCAAAAAGCCTTTCAAGAAACTGTCCTGGCAGGAGGCAGCCGGGAAGCACCGGGACATTCGCTGGCATTAAGGAAGGTGACCGTGACCGTAGGGGGGGGAGGACACCGGGCTGAGAGACAGGAGGGGAGGAGGGACGGGGCTGTTCCCCATCAGGTCCTCTCCAGACCCTGCAGCCGTCTCTGCCGAGCAGCGCTTTACAGACGGAGGAAGGAGGCCCTGGGTTCCAGGTCTCCCGGCTGCGTCGGACCCCCTCCTCACCTTCCCGGCCCCCAGGTCCCCTCGGACAGGGAAGCCCCCAGCTGGGCCTCAAGGCTTCAAGGCCCTAGGAGAAGGCGCTGGCCACCTCCCAGGTCCTCTCCAGCCCCAGGCTCCAGGCATTGGCTCAGAACGTCCCCCTCCCCCTCTTCATTCGCCCTTGGTGTGCCTGGGTGCAGGGCTTTGGGGGCCCAGGGACACCCAGAGCAAGGGCCACTCCTTCCACACTCCCCAACCCCATGGCCACCAGGGGCTCCAACAGGGAGAACCAGGGCCAGGGTGGACCCTGCCTACGGGCTCCTGGAGGCTGCAGGGCAGGTGCTGGCCATGCTCCGCGGCTCCCCGCAGGTCCCCAACTTGGGGCATCTATTCGCAGCCTGGCCAGTGCTTCCCGGAGGCTCAGGGAGCAGTGCAGCGTCCCAACCTGCAGCCCAGCCTCCGCCCGGCCCTCCTTCACCCCACAGCCGTGGACAGATGACAATGAGGCCCAGGAGCCCAGGACCCCCGCCCATCTGGGACCTAAGGCTGGGGCGGGGCGGGCGGTCCAGGAGGGCAGGGGCCAGGGAGAGGGGGCAGGGGGACAGAACAGGGGCAGGCGCCCTGGGCCAGGGCTGGGCAGGGACCACACCAGGTTGGATTAGATGATCTGGGCAGGGTCAGGACAAGTCACCGGGGGCAGGAAGAGACAGCTGGGGCGTCCCCCACCAGGGAGTGGAGGGAGGGTGTCCCTGACCAAGAGAGAGGGAGAGGGTGTCCCCGACCAGGAGAGAGGAGGAGGGCGTCCCCCATAGGAGGAGGGGGGCGTCTAGGACCAGGGGAGAGGGGGAGGAAGACGAGCCCCTGCCCTGCCCCAACCTTCTCCTTTGGCAGCGGGGACCGCGGTGGCCAGAGAGGGCCAGGGCCTGGGCCCAGTGGCACCCACCCTAGGAGCCTCATCCAGACCCACGCGGGGAGCCGGCGGGAAGGGTGTGGCCCGGCAGGTGAGGAGGCCGAGGAACGTCCATGGGCATCCAGGGCTGTGCGGCCAATGGGCAGAGACCCCGGCCACCCTCCTCACCCTGCCCACACCCCGGTGGAGGGCACCCCACCCTGTGCCCTGCTCACCGGCCTCTGCCTGTAGCCAGTGCCCTGCGGGGATTCCCCGCCCGTCCCCCTTTCCCTCCCCAAGCCGTCCAGGGCTCCTCCAGCCTCAGCCCAGCCCTGACCTCCTCAGCAACCCTGGGGCACACTCTGGTGACTGGGTTCGTGCTCTGCCCTGCAGTGCGCTAAGTCCTTGGAGACCAGAGACCCTTCCTGGTCAAGCTCCCAGGCTGGGGGTGTGGCTGGGCCGCAGTGAAGTCCCGTGACTAATTGCCACATAGTAGGTGCTTCACAAACGCTAGTCCCCTCCTCCTGGGCTGCTGGGAGGTCTGACGTGCACACAGCAGGCCCCCAGCAGGCTCCAGGGCTGAGCTCAGGTGGCCTTCTGGTCCCCAAGATCCCCTCGCCCTGAGGGAGACACAGGTGTGGCCGCTGCCCTGGCCTCTGGGCACAAGCCCTGCAGCCCTGGAGCTCAGAGAGAGGCCCATTGCTGATTCCCCTTGAGTCTGCAGCTCGGGCAATCAATCGGTCGCCATGGAAACCGGCCTGGAATCAGAGGCAGGCACTTCTTGGCTAAGCCAGCGCCACCTACCCACCCACTCAGGCTGGGCTGTGCAGGTCCCCCACCTAGGAGGGGGTGTGAGGAAGAAGAGGA